TGCCTGACTCCCGAGAAGGAAGAAGTACCTGGCTGGAGAAGAGGGAGTGTGGTGCAGACCGGGCAGCACTGGACTCAAGAGTCACCTCTGGCTATTGAACAAGTCAATCACATCTTTGAGTCTCTGTTTCCTTTTCTATGGGATGACAGGGAAATGATTTCAATCCTACCTTATAGGACTGTTTTAAAGGCTTAGATAAGAAAATGTCCCAGAAATCTGTGAGTGGGTACCCCAAAGAGCCCCTCCTTCACCCTGGTTAGATGTCCAGGTGTGAGCCTGATGTGTCCCTGTAGTGTAGAGAGGGGGCCAGAGGAGAGGAAAAGGCCAGGATCTCCGATGAACCAGGGACTGCGGAAAAAGCAGAAAAGCAGAGGGCTCACAGGAGAGGGGTCGGATGCACAGGCCCTGAAGTCAGAGAAGCCCAGGCTTACTCAGTTGAAAAATGGTGATGATATTAGTGCCTTTCTCACAGTTTCGTTTTGTTTTGAGACAGAGTCTCACTCTGTTGCCCAGGCAGGAGTGTAGTGGTGCGACCTCGGCTCACTGCAGCCTCTGTCTCCTAGGCTCAAACAATTCTCCTGCCTCAGCCTTCCGAGTAGCTGGGATTACAGGCACCCGCCACAATGCTGGCTAATTTTTGTATTTTTAGTAGAGACAGGGTTTCACCATGTTGGCCAGGCTGGTCTTGAACTCTGGGCCTCTGGTGATCCGCCTGCCTTGGCCTTCCAAAGTGCTGGGGATTACAGACATGAGCCATCACGCCCAGCCTCTTAGAGTTGTTTTGAAGTTTAAATGAGATACTATTTGTTTTGTTTTGTTTCTTTTTTGAGACGGAGTCTTGCTCTGTCACCCAGGCTGGAGTGCAGTGGCTGGATCTCAGCTCACTGCAAGCTCCGCCTCCCGGGTTTACGCCATTCTCCTGCCTCAGCCTCCCGAGTAGCTGGGACTACAGGCACCCGCCACTTCGCCCGGTTGTTTTTTTGTATTTTTTAGTAGAGACGGGGTTTCACCGTATTAACCAGGATGGTGTCGATCTCCTGACCTCATGATCCGCCCGTCTCAGCCTCCCAAAGTGCTGGGATTACAGGCTTGAGCCACCACGCCCGGCCATGAGATACTATTTGTAAAGTACTTCAAATAGAACCTGGTGCTCAATAAGTGTTAGCTGTCATTCTTATAGGATCAGGAGAAAGTGCTCAAACCTTAAATCGGGGGGGTGGCGGGTGCTGAAGGGGAGGCTGCTGTCAATGACCTCTCACTGTACACCCACTGTGATATCAGGAGTGGGTGTACAAGGCCCCCTCCAGCTGTAAGACGAAGGAAGATACTCTCCCCTGCCCCCACGTTTACACTTGCTGCTCTGGGAGCTGGATGGCAGGGAGGGGAGTGGGCATTTGGGGCTGGGGACACATAAGCAACATGGTGACTTACTGTGGCTAAAAAGAATCACATAAGGAGTGTCCCCAGACATTATTACGCCTTCTTGGTCCATCATCATTGCTACCTCCTCTGAGAAGTCTTCCTGGGATCTCTCCACCGGGCCTCCCTGCTCTGCATTTCCGTTACCTGTTCCTTGTATAATATTTCCCCATGGACAGCACCCATCTACAAAGGTCCCCAGAACTCTTCAGTCCCCCACCCCCGCCCCCACCTATGGGATTAGACACAATTTCTCAATCTCACCTCTCCTATAAAATGAGAAATTGGGCCGGGCACAGTGGCTCACACCTGTAATCCCAGCACTTTGAGATGCCAAGACGGGCAGACTGTTTGAGGCCAGGAGTTCGAGACCAGCTTGGCCAACATGGTGAAACCCCGTCTCTACTAAAAAACTTAAAAATTAGGCCAGGCATGGTGGCTCACGCTTGCGATCCCAGCACTTTGGGAGGCCAAGGCAGACGAATCACAAGGTCAGGAGTTCGAGATCAGCCTGGACAACATGGTGAAACCCCGTTTCTACTAAAAATACAAAAATTAGCTGGGCGTGGTGTCGGGCGTCTGTAATCCCAGCTACTTGGAAGGCTGAGGCAGGAGAATTGCTTGAACCCAGGAGGCAAAGGTTGCAGTGAGCTGAGATTGCACTACTGCACTCCAGCATCTGGGCGACAGTGCGAGACTCGTCTCAACAAAAAATTTTCTTTTTTTTTGAGACGGATTCACTCTCGTCGCCCAGGCCCCCCTTGCGAGTGCAGTGGCCGGATCTCAGCTCACTGGCAAGCTCCGCTCCTTGGGTTCTCACGCCATTCTCTCTGCCTCAGCTCTCCGAGTAGCTGGGACTACACGGCCCGCCACCGTCGTCTGGCTAGTTTTTTGCCATTTTTTAGTAGAGACGCAGCTTCACCGGATTCGCCCAGGATGGTCTCGATCCTCCTGACCTTGTGATCCGCCCGTACTCGCCCCTCCCACAACATGCTTGGGCATTACACGGCTTGAGCCACCGCCCGGCCCAAAAAAATAAATTTAAAAAAATAAAAAAATAAAAAAAATTACTGAGCCGTGGAGCCGCCACGCACCTGTACATCCCACGCTTACTCTGGAGTCCAGAAGCAGGAGAATTGCCCGTAACCGCCTGGGAGGTGGAGGTTGCAGTGAGGTCCCAGATCGCGCCCACGCTGCCGGTAAGCCTGGGTGACAGAGTGACTCTGTCTAAAAAAAAAAAATAAAAAAAAGTCCAGGAGTGGGGTGGCTTATGCCTGTAATTCCAGCACTTTGGGAGGCGCGAGCAGGACTGATCACTTGAGTCTAGGAGCTCTTCCGAGAACCAGCTGGCCAATGTGGGAAACCCTAATCTCTACTGAAAAATATCAAAATTAAGCTGGGCATGGGTGAACATCTGAGGTAGGAGAATGCAGCTCTGAAACCCCGGAGGTGGAGGTTGCATGAACCGAGATTGCGTGCCTACTGCACTCAGCCTGATGACAAAGAGTGAACTCAGCTCAGAAACAAAAACAAAAACAAAACAGGCCGGGCCGCGGTGCGCTCTCACGCCTGTAACCCCAGCCACTTTTGGAGGCCGAGGTGGGCGGAGCACGAGGTCAGGAGATCGAGACTATCCTGGCTAACACAGTGAAACCCCGTCTCTACTGAAAAATACAAAAACTTTAGCCGGCGCGCGTGGTGGTGGGGTGCCCTGTAGTCCCAGCCTACTCAGGAGGTCTGAGGCAGGAAGATCATGAACCCGGGAGAACGATCGCTTGCAGTGAGCCGAGATCCGCGCGCCACTGCACTCCAGCCTGGGTGACAGAGCAAGACTCCATCTCAAAAAAAAAAAAAAAAGAAACCACAAGCTGACTGCCATGGTTCCCCAGACACACTGCACTTCCCTCCCTCTGCACACTTGCTTGTGCTGTTCCCTTCTGCCTGGAACACCTCCCAAATTCCGTGAGGGTCAACGAGCTCAAGTCTGCTCCCCAGCATTCTGTTTTCCTTGCCCAGTGCTCGCCTTACTTTGCCTGGGTGCATTCTGGCCTCCTATGTGGTGCCTAGCGTAGGTGTTGAGGTGTGTGTTGACAATTTGTTGTGTGAAAGAAAAACAAGTTCTTTTTTTTTTTTTTTTTTTCTGCCCTGGTGTGTGGCCAAACTTTTTTGCACGACGTAATTCATAACCTCCCTCTGAAAGAAATTACAATTCCTCAGTGAGCTGAGATCGCGCCACTGCACTCCAGCCTGGGCGACAGAGCGAGACTCTGTCTCAAAAAAAAAAAAAAAAAAAAAATACAGGGATTTTCTATACATCCTTCACCCAGCCTCCACCAATGATAATGTCTTACCTACCTATAATATGATGACCAGAACCAAAGAATTAACATTGGTACAATGTCATTAACTAAGGACTTTATTTGAATTTTGCCAGTTTGATTCTGAGGCTGCAGTGAACCGATATCACCACTGTACTCCAGCCTGGGCAACATGGTGAAACCCCATCTCTACTAAAAATACAAAAAAAAAAAATCAGCCAGGCATAGTGGTGTGTGCCTTTGGCCCCAGCTACTCGGGCATCTGAGGCATGAGAACTGCATGAACCCAGGAGGCAGAGGTTGCAGTGAGCCGAGATTGTGTCACTGTACTCCAGCCTGGGCAATGAAGCGAGACTCTGTCTCTCTCTCTCTCGCACACACACACGCACCAAAAAAAAAAGGAAAGAAAAGAAAAGAAAAAAGAAAAAAACATTAGCCAGCTGTGGTTCCACACAACTGCGGTCCCAGCTACTTGGGAAGCTGAGGTGGGAGGATCGTTTGAACCCAGGAGGCAAAGGTTGCAGTGAGCCGTGATCACGCCACTGCACTCTAGCCTAGGCGGCAGGAGTGAAACTCTGTCTCAAAATAAATATATATATATAACAAGAAAAAAAGGGAAAAGAAAAAAGAAAAGAAAACCAAGATGATCAGGATAAATAGCTAATGCACGCAGGGCTTAATACCTTAGGTGACATGTTGATAGGTGCAGCAAACCACCATGGCACATGTTTACCTATGTAACAAACCTGAACGTCCTGCCCATGTATCCTGGAACTTTAAATTAAATTAAATTAAAAACAAACAAACAAGAAGACAGTGTTGTGCCCACTCAGTAGCTGTAGACCTAGGTGGTGGGGAGGTACTAACGTGGATCCCAAGGGGCCCCAGCAGGCAGGTGGGGCTGGGGAGAGAACTGCCTTGTAGGATGCCACATGACTTGAGAACAAAGATAGCACCAAGAGGACAGGGGCCCTCATTCCCATCTGGCTTAGTTAGCCTCCTCTGAAAGCCTGTTTCTCCTCCAAGCCCAATATCTGGCTGCTTCCCCATCCCCTGGCAACGTCAGGTTGGTGGTGTTGGGGCGTCTGGAGGTGCCCCTTTTCCAGAACCTGAGACCAGGGTAGCCGTTTCATGGAGCTTTAAATCAGGCGCAGTGAAAAGGCCCCAGGCCGGGGCCCACACTCAGAGGACTGCTGGAGAAGGAGCCACCTCCCTCTGTCCCTGCCAGACCTTAGGCTGCCCACAGAGCCCCTGGAGTCAGAGTGAAGGCACGCAAAGCTTTATTGGCTCCGTTCCAGGCAATGACATCAGTGTGGGGCTCTTGCCTGCTCCCATCTGTCTTCGCTTGGTGGGTCTTCAGGGGCCTCAGGGTCTGTCTCACCTGCGCTGTGTCCTCCCAGCTCTCCCTCCAACAGGGGCCATCTTCTGTGGCAGACCCCACTCATGGAGTTGAAAGGGCCCATGATCCCTGTGGGGAGCCTAAGAAAGTAGGGATTTGGACGCAGCATCTCACCCTGGGCTGCATAGATGGCCCCATAGGAGAGAAAACAGACGTGTGTGTGAGCCAGCCTTGCTGGGGGCAGGGGTGTCTCCATCCATGGTTAGATGGCTTCCAAGCAGTCATAGATCTAGTGTCTGCGGTTGGGCAGACTGTGGCTCTGGTGGCTCGGGTGGCCGTGGTGACTGTGGTGACTGTGGCCATAGAAAGTGTGTGTGTGGTTGGCACCAGCTATGGTGTTTTCCCGCTGGGTGAGGAAATTCTTTTGCAGCTTCATCTCCACTTCCTCGAGGGCCCTCAGCTCCTCCTGGTTGATGTCCTTGGACTCCAGGTGACCTGAGTGCTGGTAAGCTGTGGCCCGCTGCAGCATGGAGTGAGCCAGGTGCCGCCCCTGGGTGTCAATCTCCTTGGTGCAGGCAGCCACAGCAGCCCACGTGGCCTCATCGGTGGATGGGGCTTTTCCAGACTCCTGGTGGATCTCTTGGATCACTGGCGGCCCAGATGCCTTCTGCCTGCTGGTGAAGGATTCCCGGCGCAGAGCGGAGCCCACTTCTCCGTGCCTCGTGGTGAAGGTCTCCATGTGAATCGTGGTGCTGGCCTCTCCACTCCCACTCTCAGTCTGGGTAGCATTGCCATTGGTGCTGGCATTGTTGCTGCGGGCCAGCTTCTCTTCGGAAAGGCGGCTAAAGTGAGATTTGATCCAGCTTTCATTCTTTGCTTTATGGGATTCTGGTGACTTGTCCTTGTCTGGTGGACACTCAGAGGTTGCCTTTCTTCTCCTCTTTTTCTGAACCCACAGCATGAGACCTCCACCTCCTAGCAAAAGGGCAGTCCCCAGCACCACCTTGCATGATGGCTGCTGGATGAGCTCCAAGAAGGTCTCCAGGACCCTACACCAGGCAGGCAGAGCTAAGAGCACGCTGGGTGATCTCTGGTGGTATGGTTCATGCTTGAAAGGGCAGGCTCCCCAAGGATGTCTGACAGGCAGGCCCCCTGCTGCACCCTCCCTAGGTGCCCCCTACCACCTCAACAATGAACCCCATTGTGAGGAAGGCAGTTGGGGGTGGGGTGGGGAGAGTGGGGTGGGGAGAGGCTGCAGCATCCCTCATGTCTAGCCTGGCATGCATTGCCTGAGGCCTGGGTCCTGTCTCCTACCCTGACAGCTGTCCCCAGGCTCAGTGAAAGGGCCGCTTCTCTGATTCTGAGTCCTGCCTTCTGCTTGGAACCCATTCTACAACTTAGGCCTTTGTATCTTCCAGTCTTTGGTTTCTCTCTCTCCTGATCTGGTGGCCCCCGGGGGCAAAGGATGCTGGGTCAGGCTGGCCATGGCAGAAGGACCCCCTTGACTGGGCTGATATCCATTCCTAGCCATCTGAGACCAGAGAACCCTCCATCCAGGGCCCATGTCTGCTGCCAGCCTGGCATATTCTATCCTCATTTGAGCCCCTCACCTCACTATGGGGCAGAGTTCAGAGGGAAAAGAACCCAGGAAGAAGCTCATTCTGGAATAACTAACATGAAGTCACAATGGGCTGAGGGCGGGGAGGCAAGCAGTGGGCTGAGAAGGCAGAGTGGACAGGACAGGAGACTTCATTGGGTCTAGATTCCGGACAGTGGCTGCTACCTCTTGCTTTAGTGATGCACCTACAAACCCGGAATTTGTCCCCCCATAAATAGGCATGGTTTGGGTCGTGAGCAGGTGGGCTTGCTGGCAAGGCTTTCCATAGATGCAGACAACGAAAAGCCTAATTAATCTCCAAGGCCTTTCAGGGTATAGACAGGCCTGGGCCACTGTATTTTTTTTTTCCCTCGAAAGCATCTAGCTCTTTAAAAAAAATAAGAAATGCCAAAATGGGGTTGTAAAAATTGTGATGCTTTAAGCAAAATATTTTCTTTAACAGAGTAGTGGTTTTAATATATACAAAATATTATATCATTGCAAGAAAGCATGGTCCACTCTACATATGGAAGGAATAGGACACAAGCATTTTATGGAGAACCTCATCTTCCCAGTCCTGCTGCACTAGTCCTGTGGTTGGCCACTAACCTCATTTGGAAATAACAATTCAAAGTCCATCTTTGAGGGTGTTTATGGGTGTGAGTTCAGGGCCATAGAGCCCTTCTGTAATGACCCCCTCCTCTAGACTACGGTCATAACTTTTATTTAAAAAGAATACTCTTGGCCGGTGCGGTGGGTCATGCCTGTAATCCCAGCACTTTGGGAGGCCGAAGCAGACGATCACAAGGTCAGGAGATCGAGACCATCCTGGCTAACATGGTGAAACCCCGTCTCTACTAAAAATAAAAAATAAAATAAAATAAAAAATTAGCTGGGTGTGGTGGCAGGAGCCTGTAGTCCCAGCTACTCAGGAGGCTGAGGCAGGAAAATGGCATGAACCTGGAAGGCAGAGCTTGCAGTGAGCCGAGATCATGCCACCGCACTCTAGCCTGGGAGACAGAGCAAGACTCCGTCACAAAAAAAGAAGAAGAAGAGAAAAGAATACTCTTTATTCAAATATCAGTACGAATTAGCGATGCTAAAAAGATTTTTTAAAAAGAGCTACACAAGGCCGGGCATGGTGGTTCACGCCTGTAATCCCAGCACTTGGGGAGGCAGAGGCAGGCAGATCACTTGAGCTCAGGAATTTGAGACCAGCCTGGGCAACACGGCAAAATCCCCTCTCTACTAAAAATACAAAAAATTAGCCGGGCATGGTGGTATGCACCTTTGGTCCCAGCTACTTGGGAGGTTGAGGTGGGCAGATTGCTTTAGTGCCAGGAGGCAGAGGTTGCAGTGAGCTGAGATTGTGCCACTGTATTCCAGCCTGGGTGACAGACTGAGACCCCATCCTAAAAATAAATAAATAAGTAAATAAGAGGCCCAGCACGGTGGCTCACGCCTGTAATCCCAGCACTTTGGGAGGCTGAGGCTGGCAGATCGTGAGGTCAGGAGTTCGAGACCAGGCTGGCCAACCTGGTGAAACCCCATCTCTACTAAAAATACAAAAATTAACCAGGCGTGGTGGCAGGCACCTGTAATCCCAGCTACTCAGGAGGCTGAGGCAGGAGAATCGCTTGAACCTGGGAGGTGGAAGTTGTGGTGAGCCGAATTGTGCCACTGCACTCTAGCCTGAACAACAGAGTGAGACTCTGTCTCAAAAAAAAAACGAGAGCTACAGAGTTTCAGGGAGTGCTTTCCAGAAGAATCTCTAACTCTTCACTGATTCATCCAGGGCAGCTTCCAACCTCCTATTTATTTATTTTAATAGAGACAGGGTCTCACTATGTTAGCCAGGCTGGTCTCCAACTCCTGGTCTCAGGAGATCCTCCTGCCTTGGCTTCCCAAAGTGCTGGGCTTACAGGAGTGAGTCACTGAGCCTGGACCCCGTCTCCTCTTTAGAGGACCTTTAACGGCTGCAGGAGGCCCTTACAATGTGACATATTCCCTCCTCGGCCTGAGTGTTGGGCTGCAAAGTCTACCTCAGGGGCCAGGACAGGGCAAGAGAAATACAGATGTCAGAGTGAAAGCTGTTTGCGTCTTCCTTCCTGGGCATTTTGGCTGTGCCCCAGAAGCAGGGAAGGGACCCTCTATCTCTGACAGTGTTCTCTGTGACAGTGCCTTGGGAGGATTGTATTGACCCTGTGGCTAAGAGCCTGAAGGCTCAGTTCCTATTCTAAAATGAGGAAACTGGATTTGAGAGGTTAAGTGGTTTCCCCAAGGTCTCTGTTAACTGGCAGAAGTGGCAGGATTCTTGCCCAGGTCCTCTGACTCCAGATGCTGGGCCCTTCCTACCACACCCCGCTGGCTCTCTGGTGTGTGGGTGAGTGATCAGATGGGGGCTGGAGCCAGCATAGGTTGCAAGGGAGACAGACAAGTGGGTATGTGCGGCCCACGGCCTGCCAAATCCACAGAAGCCTGTGCTCCTGGGCACCCCACGCCCTCTGCAGGAGTGGGTGGGTAGCACGGAAGGGAGGGTCCAGAGAAGAGTCTGGGGGTCTCTGTGGATTCTCTGGGTGGCAGGCAAGCACCAGATGCAAAGTCCACCCTCCCCACCCTGAACTAGAGCATCCTTGAACCTTGAAGCTGAAGTAAGGTCTTCCACTTAGAGGCTCAAAATGCTTCTCACTTCAAGAGAACCAGGACTTCACCAAACCTCCAGGCCCCACAAGCCAAGCACCAGCAGAAACTTAGAGTTGTGTCCCTGCTCAACGTGGGCCTCCACAGGGCATTCATTGTCCCCAAGGAAGGGGCACATTCCCTCAGTACTGAGCTATGAATGATCAACGTGTCCATCATGCTAAGGGTCACAGTCACAAAGCAGCTTTGCCACAATGCCAATCACACTGTCATTTTAATCGTTATTACCGTTGGAATCAGTACCTTCCAATGCATATTACTCTATAATTTATAGCATGCTTTCAGTTGCATTCTCTCAGATTTTTTTGTTCAACCATCCCACAATATGAGCATTATCACTCCCATGTGTCCCATAGGGACAGCAATCATCCCACACTAAGTCAGTGCCAGAGCTGTGATTTTTTTTTTTTAGATGGAGTCTCGCTCTGTCACCCAGGCTGGAGTGCAGTGGTGTGATCTTGGCTCACTGCAAGCTCCGCCTCCCGGGTTCAAGTGATTCTCCTGCCTCAGCCTCCCAAGCAGCTGGGATTACAGGCGCCCACCACCATGCCCAGCTAATTTTTGTATTTTTAGTAGAGACGGGGTTTCACTATGTTGGCCAGGCTGGTCTCAAACTCCTGACCTCGTGATCCGCCCACCTCTGCCTCCCACAGTGTTGGGATTACAGGCGCTCACCCAGAGCTGTGATTTGAAACCAGAGTCCACAGTCTACATGATACTGCCTCAATAGGAGCCACACCATTCCCAAAGCTGACCAGACACTCTGTTGAAATAGTGTGGCCTAGCAGCTCCAAAGGGTTTATAATGAGAGTCACTGAGGGAGTAAAACGGAGCATGGGCCACGCAGTCAGACAAGGTGCAAATCTCAGCTCAGCTATGTGTTCGCCGAATGACCCTGGGCAGTGACCATGTTACTCTGAGGCCCGGACTCCCATCTGTGGGATGGTCCTATAGAGAGCACTACCTCAGAGGATTGTGCGGTAAGGAATGGAGATGGGCGGAGCAGGGCAAGCAGGATTTGCCATTTTCTTCTACTTTCATTTATTGTGCCTGGGACTCTGTTACATGTTGAGTGTCGCAAATATCATCTGGTCCCTAACCTCAGAGTGGGGGAGACCCATGGGTAAAGAGAGACGGGATCGCAGAGCCACAACAGGGAGAACTAATTCTGGCAAGGAGGCTTTGTCCAGAAGAGAACGTACAAACAAACTTTAGAGGGAACTGGGACTGTGGCTGGGCTGCCACGTGACCCCAGCCACATGCCCTCACATCTGCACTGAGTGACAAGGTTGACAAGGACTTTCACACCCATTTGCCAGTCCAACCCCAGAATCACTCTGGGAGCTACAAAGGCGCTTTAACAGTTTACAGCTGGGTAAACTGAAGCAGGTGAGGTTTAGCTTAAGTTTACAGGCCAGCAAGGAGCTTCCTGCCTATCTCCTGACTCCAGACCAGTCTCCCCTGTTCCTCTCCAATAATAAAATGACCCACGGAGTACCAGACTATCCCTGGACAGCTTGACAGAGCCTGTGTACCCTCCCTTGGTCCCTGGTTAAAGAGAATAGGGCCACTCACATCTCCCCAACTCCCACAGAGGACAGCCCCGCTTACCTCGGAAGGGGAAGGTGCCCAGTTTGTGCAGATTCTCCTCCAGTTTCCCATAGTCCACCTCTGCAGTGGCAGTGAAGGGGGTGGTCACAGGGGGGTAGATGCCCGCAATGTCCACCTTCTTCCCCTCCCCTGAGGCCCAGCCCCTCACATTCCTGGACAAGCTCCTGCTTAGCCCCTGCCTCACAGAGGACCAGACTTGGGGACCCAGCATCTCTGCAGGAGGCCTGAGGCACAATTGGTCTATGTCCCAGAGTGAGACTTAGTTTGAACTCTTTCTAACCCCCTATTAATGATCAATGTGTCTAGTTAAAAATTTGCGGCCTCCCTGACTTGTGGCCACTGGGGCAGGCCTGAGCTGGGTGTCCCCAGGGTCAGGAGCAAGGCCTATAGGCCCCAGGGGGTCCTCTTCCTTCTGGGTAGCAGCTGGAGAAATGCCACAACCCAGTGTCCCTCTGGCCAGATGTAGGACTGGTTTCTGGGATCCCAATACTAAACGGTATCTCCAGTGGGATCTGGGCCCTCCTCCCACAATTCCCAGCCCCAAAACCAGAAGCCTAGCCAGGTTTCCACGGGCAGTTGTGAGGTTGGTGGAGCTGATTGGCTGAGCAGGCCCTGCCCTGTGGGAGGCGTGGCAAGGCTGGGCAAGAAGCTGCCTGTGGCAGGCTGTCCCTCCCCTGCCCTGCTCCCTTGCCAGGCTCCTCCTGCCAAGGCAGCCACGTGACAAGCCTGTGCTAGCCACAGACAGCCCCACAGGACAGCAGTCACCAGGAAGGGGGCCCAGGATGATGTATTACCAAGTCAATCCATGCAAGGGCCAAGCCTGGCCCTAGAGACATGGGAAGGGGCAGGAAAAGTTGCGTGGCAGGGAAGAAAGGAAAAGAGACCACAGTAAAGCAGCTGCGGGGCTGGCTCAGAGGGCCAACCAGCTCCCAGTTTTCCTCCTCCCCAAGCCAACATTTGCCCCCAGCCTGCCTTCATTCCCAGAGATTTCAGACACAAATGGAAATGAACATCGCAATTAGCAAAAACAACTTTTTTATTGTGGTAGTTTGTGGGTGCTCCTGTATCACGCAGAAAAAAGGCTGGGCCCTCAGTTAGCTCTGAGAGTCATTCTTAGGACCCTCTGGCTGCACACAGAGAGGGGCTGCGTAGCTGGCTGTGCTGGGGCACAAATTCACTGGGCTGGCACGGGCTGAGGGGTCTCCTGCCCACTCTCATCAGGCCCCTCCAGTCCGTTATGCTCAGCCCCCGGCTCAGGATGCTCCAGGGCGTGCCGGGTATCAGTCTGCCACAGCTGCACCAGGTCCGTGGGGGTCTTTCCTGCCTGGGGTGGCGGGGCGGGGCGGGGCGGGGGCAAGAGAAAATCTGTTCACTCTCCTGAAGGCTTTCACAGAAGGTACCCTCATCGACACCACCAGTGCTTCTCAAATGGGGGCAACTGGCTACGTGTGAAGATACTTTTCGTTGTCACACTAGGGGAC